TTTTATGATCAATCCATCAAATTATATTCAAACAGATTATTGATTTGGTATAGCAAAGTTATTATTGTTTTTTCTTATTAGACAGTTATGCTATTATTTATGACTTGTACATCTTTTTTTGGCTTAGAAGATCTATGACAATTCTGTCATTTATTTCTCAGTTTTATATGTCACATAGAAACAAATAACTCATGGACTATGTATATATGAAAAATTTAATTTGGAGAAGTATTACTTTTAACATGTGATACTTTTTGTGTTGTTTTATGTGAAGAACAAAAAAAATTTTATACGTCTGACATTTTCCCCACTACACAATTATAAATATAGGCCAATGTCAATTATAAAAAATTTGCTTATATGAAAAAGAATGCTTTTAGAATTCACTGATGAGAAAAAAAAAGTTTTAAACAGAAGAAAAAAAAATATATATATATTTCTCGCTGTTGTTCTTCTTAAAATAATTTCAACACAATTCTAGTCATAGAATATGAAAAATATCAAACGTATTTACACATATCTTTTAAAAAAGGAACACTAAAAGCATTTTTAGAATATATTTTAAGATGCTTTTAACTATCCTTTTTTATTGCTTTGAAAACCTACTTTGATAAGTATACTTATCTTTTACAAGTATTACTCAGTTTTCATTATAATAAAATACATTTTCGTTATATTTATATTTATATAAAAAAAAAGTCTCCATGTGTATCAATTAATGGTCCATATTATGTGTTGTTGTTTTTTTTTTTTGTAAAGAAAATTTCTCTTTTTCACAGATGTACCCAGCAAAAATAAATTTAGTATGAATGTCGAATAGCCTAAACGATTTTCACAATGTATTCTGTAGATCAAAGATAAGATTACCTTATTGACATATTGATATTGGTTTAGTCATTAAGAAAATCTTATATGTCATTTAATGTAATATAGAATAATGACTAAGAAAAAGGAAAAAACCTAGATGTATCGTATACATATATGTTCATTTATTTGACACTAGGAGATATATGAATACTAATTCATAATTCAAATGTGCTTATATGTTTTTCAAAGGTTTCTAGCTATAAAAACAAAACTTAGTTGAAACAAAATCTTTTGCGTTATTTTCCGTGTTGATCATCTTCTCAAGGAAGAACCTCAAAATAGACAATCATATCTTTTTATTTGTCATCTCTATCCCATTAATTCGCTGATAGTGTCTGCCTTTTATCATAAGAGACCTTTTTGGATAAAGTAAATAAATCCATTATTACGACTTCTTGATTCTGAATTCCTATAAAAAGAAAGCAATCAAGTCTACGATAACTTTCATATCAGAGAGAGAAAAAAACAACTCGATAAACTTTTTCCAGTTAATCTATAGAAAAAAAAAATGAAATAAAAATGAAAACATTACTCAACTATATAATCTCAAGAGAATTTAATGAAACTAACGTGATCCGAAACCATAACGACAATGGCTCTGTTTTAATTTTCTATCTTACAAAACAATTATCAATACATTTCTTTGCATGCATACAAACATGCGTTCTCTAGAGTCCAACAACGTTTCAAGACATAGAGAAACGAAACGAAGAGAAAAAGAGAGAAAGTGAGAGAGAGAGAGGAAGGGAGGGAGAAAGCGAGAAACATGAAAAGAGAAGAAGTGAGGAAGAAAGGAACTAGAACTAGACGCGATCAACAGGAATGCTCATACGTCCGCTCGATCAACTAATTATTCTTACAATCACTTTAGCAGTCATTTGACTCGTGTTTTCTTTTCTTGATTTTGTATTTCTTTTATGTAGCGGGACAAAAAAAAGTCCATGCTTTTTTCTTCAATATATTTACTTTTAATTTCGTCAAATCTATTCTTATAAAAAAGACAAGTATTTATTACGGTAAGAAAAATATTTCTGTTTTATTTTTTCTTGTTTTCTATCTTTCTATTATTCAAGAAGAAGAAAAAACTCGATTTAGTGATTCCGTACATTAGAATCGAGAATATGTAATAGTAAAGATAGAGCGTTTTATCATGTCAAAATACTTATTCATCAATATTTACCAATTATTGATTATGTATTCTTGAACAAAACCATAAGTATGTTTAAAGCTTAGATAATAGGAATGTTTACAACTCTTAGCAGAACTCTTGTTTTTTTGCTATTCTTTTCCATTAAGTTTATGTCAATGAGATGCACAAATTTATTAGTCTATTTTGGTATCATAATTAATCATGAACGGTATACGAACAAAAACTGAAGCATACTATCGAAAAGAGGTCAATTAATATTTTTGTTATTCAAAATAGAAAAATGTTAGGGAATATATGAATATCAACTTGGGAGGTCACGTCATGCTAATAGCTTATGACGTTACTTAGTGTAAATATATAATGTCTGCTTTTGATAATGACGCGGAATAATTAGCTTGCCTTGATTGTCATGATAAAACACTATTTCACACTCGATTGAGAACATCTCTAGGCATGTCTAACCGTTGAAATGACCGTATTGAAATGATGTGGCAGCGAATAGTCTCTAAAACGATGTAACAAAAGCAATCACTAGTCTAAAATAATGGTTTCACTCTGTTGCTCTTATAAGAGCAACAGAGTGAAGTCACTATTGTAGACCAGTGATTGTCTTCGTTACATTGTTTTAGAGCTTGTTCGCCGTGACATCACTTCAATTGAAGTCATTTCAATGATTAAACGTTCCTGAAAATATTCTCAATCTTATATGAAGTGAAATTTCATCGAATCAATCAAGAAAAATCAATTTTTGCGCCTCATTATTTGGAAAAATTACTCTTGATATTAGCTTAATATACTTTCCGAATAGTTCTTCAAAACGAAAGAACTATTACCATTGGTATGAACAATGGTATATTACGGCAATTGCAGATTATTCTTATTATTATAATGATGTACTTTTCTTTAACAATAGACTCAAAATTATGTATGATAGTCAAGAAAAGGAAAAAGAAATAGTTTCCACTTGAAGTTGTATGTTGTGTTAAATTGATAATTGTATATCTTTAAAAATATAAGTTAGTTGCATTTCTAAATTAGAAACTGAAGACAAAAAAGAAACTTTTCATGTTCGAATATTAGTACAACACTGATGCATATGATTGAAAATTATGAATATGTTTATTTTTTAATATATCTTCAATTATTTCATGTCTTGAGAAAGAGGTATTTTTGATGAGAATGATCATGAATTATTTTCCGAATCCTCGATTTATTCATGTTTACTAAATGATATAATTTGTATTCAGAACTAAATATCGTTGAAAAAGAACAGATCTTCATTGACAAGCACATAGATTTTACGTGATTATCTAATATATATATTAAATGATTTAGTTGACGTATGTTTATGATGTAGACTTTGACATATTAAATAAACAATCACTTTATAAACTTTCATGATAAAATATTTTCTTGATTTCTTCTGATTTGATTAGTCAATAGTATAGTTTCTTGACCTGAGTACAATGAATAGCAGAAAAATTAGAAAAAATAAGTGAAGAACATTTTATTATTGACGATCAAATGAAAAACGAGCATATATAGGAAAAATGCAGTTTTCTTTTTCCCAATAGATATGCAATTTTTATGAAATGCAATACAATGACAAATATGATCAAAACTATTCATAGAATTCAACAGTGCACTGAATACCTAGTTAATGTTGCGAAAAAAAAAGACAAACAACAAAGAATCGACTGAAAAGGTTGCCAATTAACAGAACCATTTCTTGTATTTGTCGCATGAATACTTTTCTTCTTTACTCGTTATCGTAGATCGTCAACTAACGGCAAGAATAATATGAAAGTGTGAAACAAAAAAAGTGTGTATGCGTGATGTCACCAAGGAACATGCCTGGTTTTTATGTGGGTGTATTGAAAATACACATACTTTAATCATATTAGAAAATGTTAGCACAACTACAATAGGGAATAAAAATCTCTCGATTAATGTTTATTCGTAGCGTAACACACTAAGTGGGTAGACGCGTATGTATGTGTTAATATTTTTATCAAGTATTCTTTTCTTCGAAGTATTTTTTTTTTGTCACAATTCATATTATAATAATTTTCTATAGATAGTTTTACAATATATTCTGTGTAAAATAGTACTAAAGTAATTAGAGATCTTGCCAAGAAATTTTTCTTTGTTATTACTGTCAAAAGAAGGAAATCTTCATATATATACATTCATACATGATCTATCTAGAACAGATGTCTTTTTTGTCACACTATTACTTGAATAATATTAATCTTGATCAAAGTTCTTTTTTTTCTTTTTCTTTCTGTTAGTAATATTTATTAAGTCTAAAATAAAAGAAAAAGAAAAAGAAAAAAAAACTTAATGGCGAATAATGGTTAATAGTTATTTTCCAATCGATTCTATAATGCTCAATTACTTTCTCTTACTAATAAAACCAAAATAAGAAAATATCGATCAGCTAATTTGTTAATATATATGTGTAATATATATATCTGAATATATTATTAAGAAAAATGTGTCAACGTGGTATTACACTTGAGATAAGTTATGGAAAAAAAAGAAGCATATTGATCTATGTGAGTCAACGCCTCGTCAAACATATGCATGTTCGAATAATAGAAATGAGAAATAAATTAGAGAGCTGTCAATTGTTTTGAAGATATGGAATATTACATAAACATCTAAGGTTTGTCTGTAATTATTCTATATGAAAGATATGTTTTCATCAAGAAATAGCATAAACCAGAAAATTGTTATTACTTTTCTCAAAGTTGCTTTAGTACAAAATACCCATAGAAGCTTTTTGTTTTTTACATGAATAAAAAAAAAGAAACGATTGACTATATGTTATCTGAATTGTATATGCATAAACTTAGCCCTCTTACTATCTAAAAATAATATCAATGATTGATAAAACATATTCTCTTTTTGTATATTATATTTTAGACCATCGTCTTTCAATTCCTATTATTATTATCTAATATTATTATTTGAATACGAAATGTCGGCTGCTAGATCATCAACTACAGCATTATATTGTGTATCATTTCGAAAATATTTTTCTTTTGATAATATGAAATCAGTAGTTCATGGTTTTGTTTATGAATATGAAACGCCAAAAATTGTAACAATTCATTCAGTTTCAAGTAAGTAGAATTGATTTTACATTATCATGGGATTAGATTAGATATAATCAAAAATGGTAATCTAAATCTCTTAGGAGACGTTTACTTTGTTGCTATTTCATGTTTTTCATTTCTTTTGTTTTCTCATACCTATTAAGGTATGTTAAGAGTATAAAAATGTCATATGTTCTTTTCCCTAGTCGCCGTTATGTGTCGTCTTATTCAATTACTTATTTTAATCTACGGTGTTGCATATTTAATGATACATAAAAAAGGCTATCAAGAGACAGACACATCAATTATATCATCGATTACATTGAAAGTTAAAGTAAATAATAATCAATAAATCAAAGAAATCAAAAAAAAAGAAAGAATCATTCTTGACTATTTTTTAATAGGGTATCGGTTATAATCAAACAGGACAAAATCAAACCTTAGTTATTGATGGTGCAGGTAAAAAAAATAGATATTCAAATTTATTTTCATGTCTTTTCTTTAGATTATATTGTTCCACCACAAGAAAATAATGCTTTATTTTTAATGACAAATTTCATTCGGACTGATCAAGAACATAAACGATGTGCTGGTATGTATATACATGAAATATAAATAATAATTGACTATTAAGCTTTTTTTTTTTTAAAGAATCACCGGATGAAAAACTGTCAAGCTGTAGAGATGATGCTCATTGTGTGACGAATAAAAACTTTCAAAAAGTAAATTTATAGAATTGCTTTTTTATCTTAATTATTTTCTTTTTCATTTAGGCTAATGGAAAATGGACTGGTAAATAAAAATGAAATATTTTCTTTCAATTTTTAATATTATTTTAAATAGGTCGTTGTTTAAAAAAAAATAATTCTTCAATAAATAGTTCTCAATCAATAACAGGTCTATGTGAACTTGAAGGTTGGTGTCCAGTTGAAAATGATCAGAATATTCCAAATCCAATACGTGATGCATTAAATTTTACAATATTCGTTAAAAATTTTATTGAATTTCCACTTTTTAAAGTCATTAGAAAAAACATTCAAGCTAATGTAACTTATTTAAAACGATGTAATTATGATCCTGTTAAACATAAATTATGTCCAATATTTCGTGTGGGAACTTTACTTGATATTGTTGAACCAGATTTAATGGAACAAACACAAATGTTAAGATTAGGTGGTGTTATACGTGTTAAAATACATTGGGATTGTAATTTAGATAAGTCATTAAATTTTTGTCAACCTGAATATTCATTTAGACGTCTGGATGGTTCATATAAAGAAGAATCATTTTCACATGGATTTAATTTTCGGTAGGAATAAATTAATTAACATAATTATTTTCTTATTGTAGGATAACATATTTTTGTGTTTTCTTTTATTAGATTTGCATCACATTGGAAATATCAAAATCGATCGTATCGAACATTAACTAAAGCATATGGTCTTCGTTTTATTATTTCTGTAAGTAAATCACCATATGGAAAGAAAGTCATAATTGTCGTCAAGTAACTTTCTATTAATGTTGCGTTAGATTTGTAATAAGTCATTGTTTGATTCTAATAATAGAAATTTCCTCCAAGGAAAGGTTAAAAATGCTAGAGATAGTAGTATTGAAAGAGAGTAATGAGTTCAAATTTTGAAGACAACTACAACAGTTAGTGGATTCATTTTCGAATAAAAGACTTCTCAATAGAGATTCTACTGGTTCGAGAGCACTTTTACTGTTATCTAAAACATCATCGCAATAACATGAATAAACACGTAGATATGTTGTTTACTGTACGTGAGAGATCGTTCTTTTTTTCGATATTGATCCTTAGAGATACTTCTTGATTAATGTTAATATCAAATACAAATGTTTTATAATATTTCTCGTGTTATCACAAGGAATATGTCTTAAGTTTGTTTTTTTTATCAATATGGTACATATAACATAAGATTCTTATTGAAAAAAACTTCAAAAGAAAAACAAACCATAAAATCTTAATTTCTATAGATCAGTGGTCAAGCTGGTCGTTTTGATATAATAACATTAACATTAAATGTTGGTTCATTAATTGGTATTCTTAGTTTAGCAACCTTTATATGTGACATTCTTGTATTATATGTTCATCGTCAATCTGATGTATATCGTCAGCAAAAATTTCAAGAAGTTAATTTGAACTCAATGCGATTAGATAGTTTAAAACCTGTTTCATCAAATACACCACAAAGTGAATCAAAAAGAAAACATTCGAATCATTTTGAAAAAAATATATCAAATCGTAATAGTATTGATAATAATGAAGTATTAGCAAATATTGAATGTACAGATGAAACAGAATTGCAGCAAGGAAAAACTAAACATCATGATTTATGTGATAATTTATCAGTAGCGTCAAAAAATACAAATCAGCAAACAACACCAATTTTTATCTATGGAAATTTTCATCAACAAAAATTAGGTTTAAATTCTTCAACTACAAGTCCATCATTATCATCAATAAAACAAAGACGTTCAGCAACAACATCAACAAAATCACGACCATCACACTTAGTATATGCATCAAATGAAGAAAATCAATTATATGATAAAGCAAATATTTCTTATGTTGATGCTGATTCTACAGAATTAATTGGATCCAATGAAAAGACTGATGAAAATGAACATTTAAATAATAGTTCGTCACTTAGTCATGAACAATCTGCTGTACATTCGCCAACAACTGAAACATTCTTATGAATGTTTATACATGTGCATGTTTTATATGTAGAGTAAATTGTGTCAAAAAAAATTTTTTTTTCTATATTTTTGTTTCACGAGGAGATTCTTTGGTGATTAAATTTAAAGTTTATAAAGAAAAGGCGAAGAACAGTAACATATATATGATGCAAGCAAAAAAAGAAGATTTGCGTTCAATAATAACTACCTTTTTTTATTTAAATATAATGTGTTTGTCAAATGAAATTTTATAGATAATATAGTATTCGTTTTTATGTTATGTATTTGCTTATTATAACAAGGAAAAAAAAGAAAATTGTATTGTTGTAGTTAGAATATACAATCTTTATTACATGCGAAAATCAATGTGACATCATAAAGATCATGTTTATAAGTATTTTTTTGTAGTACATAAAGATGTCTCGATGAGCAAGACACTAATAACAGTATAATTATATGTGCTTATGCACGATATGCAAATACAAATTAGTTACAAGGTAATAAATCAAGTCTATGCAGCTGTTAATGTTGAAATGGTCTGTTTTTCCAATTCTATGATTATGTTGTTGTGCTTTGACTTAGATTGATGATTACAAAAATAACCAAAATTCCAAGAAGAAATTACTTTTATGCCTGTTCACAAAAATGTTTTTGAGTATAATTCCGATAGTATCTAGTCTAGGTTACAATATCTTTATAATCATATTTATTATAATATCCTATAAAATAATCCTATACACAATCGATATTGTTCAAATGTGAATTTTGTTTCATATTATAAAAATCTTAATAAAAGAAAAATTAACAATTCAAGTTTAAATAAATTTCTTTCTTTCAATACAATTCATAAAAAAAAGAAAATTTTTATGTTAAATGCTAATCTATTAGTGTGAATTAAAAAATATATAGACAACGGGTGTATCAGAATAAATAACTGTTTAAGTATTTTCACAATATCGTCATGTCTTGTCGTTTGTATTTCAAGGCTCACGATTCAATACTCTAGAATAATGCAGTACAGGTTTTGTTAAAAAACACGTTAAGTTAAATAACATTGCGAACCTCCAACATAACCAACTTTCACAAAAGAATACATAACATTCCTGTAGGGCTTGGAAAGTTCTATCTTGTAATCAAGATAGTAAACTTTTTGTATCAAGATTAGCCATGTAAATGAATTATTTCTTGTCCCAAAACTTTACATGGGAGATTCTCAGTAAAATTTGCATTAATCTGCAAAAGATAAATGAGTCAATACAACTCAACTTTATTTCAATGTTAAGAGTAAGTACATCAAACTGAAATGTTAGAATTTGAATGAGAGCTATTCTTTGAGGTATATTGCGCAAAAACAAACAAAGTTTTACTTGTTTTTGGCTCACGATAGAACTATTCGAACTGTAACTTGCCATTTAAACTAACCAGGAAATCTCGATAAGACTAGAAGAGATTTAAACAAAAAATCAAATAACAGAATTTTGATCTGTAGATTTCCTCTAGTCTAAAATCATTATTCTTTGTGGAAATATTGAATTTCAAACAAATAGCCATTTGTCATAGACATGATATAAAAATTAAGGTTATTTAGAAATTCAATATCTCAATAAAGAAAGATTCTTTTCGGCTGAAACTTCCAGGCTATTTAAGGTGTGAGTAGATCTATCCATGAATTGAATTTCAGGTCGAAATTTTATTACTTGAAATAGTTGCCTTGTTAGTTTTAATTAACTAACATTCGCGTCAAAGAAGAAAAATTTCATCGAAACAAACTTCAATATGCATCATAAGAATGTACTTTGCTATACTCTTAAACGCACTCTATCTTTCTCTTTTATTTATGCAAAGCTAGAAAAAACTACTGAATCATTCTGCAAAAAAAGCTTTCGAAAAGTTACCATGTAAGAACTTCGCCGTATGATTTATCTAATATTTTTACTAAACATTTTGTAATACTTAATTGTAGAAAAAATGAATGGTGAAAGTTTAAAACGAACGACTAAGGTATAACGATATCGATAAAATACTGAGAGAAAAATTTATTCTAACACATCCGTTATATAAACTATTTTCTTTTAACTACTACCCTTGGATATGGAATACCGAGACGATCACTTAACATTTGCACAGTTTTTTCATATTCTCGATTAAGATTATTTGCTTGTTGTAAAGCAAATTTTAAATCTTCAATATCATCAAAAAAATTTTCATCAAGCGCACTTAATTCTTTCTTCATACGTTCATAGCGTTCTTCAAATTTTTCCATACGTTTTTGTGCGCACATAGCACGTTTTTCTGCTTCTTCTTTTTCTTTTTCACATTGTATTAAACGTCGTTCATAATCATGAATAAGTTTTGATGAAGATGCTTCTTGTCGATCACGTATACTTTCATTTTCATATTTTTTTAATAAATCATTTTGAGCTTTTAAAAGACGATGTAAACGTAGTTGTTCTTCGGTAGGTAATCTTCCTGTTGGGCTTGGACGACGTGGAACAGTAATATCTGTTTGACATGATATTGAACATGAATGAATATGATCAAGATTTTTTTCTGCAATTATTCTTTCAAGATGTGCTATATGTCTTTTAAGATCGGCTATTTTTGTTTTTAATCGTTCATTTTCATAATTTAAAAAAGCACACATATGGATTGGTGGCATCTCCATATTGAAAGATATTCATATCTTGAAGAACAAAAAATAAACATAATTACACTCAATTCAATTAAGGATATTGTTTCTCATTATTGAAAATGGTACAATTGATCAACCTGGAAATTTTACATCCAAAGTAAGAAGACATGCTCGAAAAGAAAAATTGAAATAGATTTTTGCAGTTTTTGTCTAGAAAATTCTAATATTCCATAGGACTACCATTAAACTTTTTCCAATTGAGCTGAGAATTGTTCTGTTGAGACGCCTAAAACCGTATCTCCCGAGGGAAGGTCTTCAACTGATCCACGCCATTTTTAATCATATCTTGTTCATATATAGGGCCATTATTCTAAGAAAAATCCTAAGAAGGTTGGAGCTGATAGGGCTTCCTTCGAAAGTTATGACCATTTTACTGATTTTTTGATCTATGGTAAGATATTTACAAAAACATGGAATGACGAAATTTTGACCTGAAAATTTTGCTCACATGAAGGTCTCATGGTCTTTAATATGTGCTAAAAGTTTCAGTGAAAACGGATGTTCTCTTTCCCAGATAATGAATGTCCAAGAAGACTCGATTTTTCTGAGATCCTGTGAAATGCGGATATTTATTGCAAATTCATTATCTCGAGAAACAAACATCCGTTTTCGCTGAAACTTTTAGCACATACTAAGGACCACGAGACCTTTATATGAGCAGAATTTCAGGTCAAAATTTCGTCATTCCATGTTTTTGTAAATATCTTACCATAGATCGAAAAATCAGTAAAATGGTCATAACTTTCGAAGGAAGCCCTATCAGCTCCAACCTTCTTAGGATTTTTCTTAGAATAATGACCCCTATATATGAACAAGACATTATTAAAAATGGCGTGGATCAGTTGGAAACCTTCCCTCGTCAGAGATAATTTTAAGCTTCTCTGAAAATCTCACTTTTTCATGAGAGAGATACGTAAAAATTCCGTAATAAGACTGGAATTCTGCCTTTCAGAATCCAATAAATTGATATAGGAAAGTCAAAAACGAAAATGGTCGATTTTATCTTCAGAGAATACTTCCAAGTATCGGTAGTAAAAATTTCAGCCCAATTGAACAAAATCAGCAAAAGGGTCACAAGCAAACAGGATGCAACTCTATGGAACCCAAGATTTTTCAGCGAAAATCCACTTCAATTTTTTTTTTCTTCGCACATGTATTTCTTTATTTTTGTTTAAGGTTGATCGATTGTTTCATCTTTGAGACTAAGAAACACTCAAAAAAGAGAGGAGAATATCTTTAAATGTTTTTAAAAATACAATTAACATGGAATGCTTTTTATTTTCAAGAAAAACTATGTCTACAATTAATTTTTAAAAACAGACATATGTATATCTGAACTTGAAAATAGAAGAAAAATGATTATCACTGTAATATAATAATTTAATTTGAAGGATATTTAGTTTGAAAAATTTGTTCGATTCGTTTTGTATTTGTTATTTCAGTTGGTAATTTACTATGATATCGTTCATTTATTGTTTTTATTAGATTATTTGACGATGAATTTGCTGCCTATTTAAAACAAAAAATAAACAAATAATACGAAGACCAAAAAAAATGATTTTACTGATGTTGTTAATGCTTGTGAAACTTGTTTCATTGATACTTCCATTTCATGATTTGATGGAAAAAAATTCGGTAATGTTTTCTTACGAATAGATAAATCGATTTGTTTCGTTTGTATATTAGTATCATCAACGACAGATATATCAGAAGAAAATGATTGTTGTTCTGGTGATTGACAATCAAATGAATTTTGTAATTCATGTGAACGTTTTTTATATTGGCTTTGATTATTGTTCGTAATTGTTATATCAGGAGAATATACAGTATGACGTGATAATTCAGTATGAGCATCATTTGTTAGAGAACCTAAAAAAAGGATTTGAATAGACAAAAAAAAAGATGAAAAAATTAGATTTAAACCATTAAGTCGTTCTGCATTCATTTGTTGACAATCAAAATTAAATGCAGATAGATTATTTAATGGACGAATATGAACAATATCAATATCATCTTGTTGTTCTTGATATGTTGAATTTTCTTCGACATGTAATGGTGATGAGACAACAGCTGGTATGATTGAACGATGATGAGTTGGTGGAAGACCAATAGGTAGAAAACTTTGATCTTGTTCATCATCTTCTTCATCAGACCAAATTATCGAATCATTTGGATGTTGTTGTTCGAATAAATTACTATGTATTGTAAAATGACAATAATAAATTCAATTTGAAGATTATTCATTAAATTTGTATATAATGAAGAAAAAAAAAACATTGGTTTCTGATTTCTTCATAAGAATGAACGTACTAAGGTGACGAATGTTTGTAAGATTTTTGCGAAGTGTTTATTACTGAAAACTATTCCACTTGAAATGATCTTGGTATATCTTAGTAGAGTTTGTATACTTACTGAACTAAAATATATCCTGAGAGATATAGGAAATATTAACTAAACAAGGAGAGAAAGAAAAAATATGTCACCAAGGTAAACTATTAAAAGATATTGACGAGCATCTACAGACTTTATATTCGCTATTCTGAATAGACTTCAAAATGATTACATCATTTCTATGAGATCAAATTAAACAATATATATACATTTAGCCATGTTTTTGAAAAAAGGACAGCATCGTAAGGAGACGAAATAAATGGTTAGATGTCGTAGTAGTCCATCGCTGAGCGATTTGATACCACAACTCATGAATCTTTAGTGAGCTAGACAAGATTGTTCATATCAGCATGATAGCTAACTAACTATTTGCAAGACTAGATAAATTTTCTTACTTGCAAAACACATTGTCATCACTGAAGTTAAAAAAAAACTAGCGTTAGTATTGCAGAAATGCCTAATGTTTTCCTATAATATGCAGCTTATTCGATTGTTTCAATTCATGTTCAGTAGAAAAAACAAACTATTAAAACATAAGAAGAATATTTTTTTGAAGCCATTTGCTGGTGAATTTTCTAGATTTTTTTCATTCCTATTTGTGTCATAAACAAACTTAACCTCATTTTTTATTTGTATTAATTCATATATTAGTCAAAGTTTCTTTTCCAGAAGTGCAGTTTCGCATTCTGACAGAATGAACATATACTTTCTGAGGCTGAATCTCTAATAACCATGATTTTAGAAAAGAAAATAATCTGTATATCTATTAAAACTCACTTCATATGTCCATTAGTAGTATCAATTTTAGATGAATCATCTACGGTTTGAAATTCATTAGTTGCATTAAATTTCGGTAACATTGGTGGTAGTGATGACGTACTAGATTTCTTTTCAATAATAGTTGACGATACTGGTGGTATTGGTATAGTCAGAGGTTTATCAAAAAAATCTTTCGATGTCTCAAGTAAATGATTTGCTTTTGTCATAAGTTCTTGTGCTAGACGCACTTGATCATTATGTAATGATAGTACATCAGTTACATTAAGACCATTACTCACTAATGGTTTACCACTTAATGATTCAGGAAATTGTTCTAATAAATCTCTTTGAACTGTTGTTGTTGACGTTGTTGAATGTGTATTATCAGTATTTTGACGAATAGAATTTGTAGTTAATGGTAAATTAAGTGAAGTTATTTGTGGAACTGATGATGCACTACTATTTCGACTTGTTGTTATTGTTGATGATATTTCTGAATTTGAATAATAACGAGCTTTTAAACGTTCTGTTATCACATCAAGTTCACCTAATTGACGTCTAGGAAAAAAAAAGATTTTCTTTAAATAGAAAATGCTCTTTTGTTATTTATTTACCGAAGATTATTCATTAAAAATGATTGTTTATTATTTTCATCATCAATCATTGAAGAGTTTAAACTTGTTGAACCGCCATTACTCTAAATTATTATTTTTTTTCATAAATAAAAATCTAAATATTTAATAGATACTTACAGATCTGGATGAAAAATCATTAATATTTGACGATGGTATAGTTTCACTTTTTGATGAATTTGAACGATGTGTATTAAGTTTTGGTTGATATTGTTTGGAATTATATTTCATACGTTTAAATTCAAAAAGATCTTCTTGTGGTGTAATACTAATTTTTAATTGTCCTTGTACATTTCCAATTGTATCAATTATATTATACCAACCAGATATTTGTTGTAAACCAGATAATAATGGACTTAAATCGATAGAAACAAAACCAAGAACTTTATCACCTGATTTTTCTATTAACAATAAGAAAATTTTACTATATTAAGTGTGGTTTTTTTTTGCTTACCTGGAATAGATTCAATATCAGCATTTATTTTATGCCATACTTTAAGTATAAATACTTTTTTTTCATTAAATAAATGTTCGATCGATAATTTAATTGATTGTTGATAGTTCCATTGAGGTTTTGTTGTTGATGTTAAGACTTGTGTACGACATAAATGATTTGAATCAGCTGTTGAATATGTTACATATGGATTTGGTGGTATATGAATATTTCTAATGAACCAAAAAAACAAATATTTTAATATATAACTAAAAAAGATTTACTCATTTTGAGAATAAATATTTGGTAAATGTGCAGCTTGTTCAATATTAATAATAACTGAGAAAATATTATTTGTCATCGTACGAAGTGCACGATCATTGCTTATTAAATTTAAATGACGATTTTCTAAGTAAGAATCAAGTTCAACATCGTTGGATGTATCGAGACCGTTTCGATTCTAAAATAAAATATTTAGAAAGAAAACTGTTAACACAATTCCTGTGAGATTAAAATCATCATCCATTCTACTCAATCATCTAATAATGGAATAAAGAATCTGTTTATAGCTACTTTATGACGAGACATTATTGATATGCGGTCTTTGATCATATATCTACAGCTATTAACGTGTCTGTTAAGGTCGGCCGATCTGGTGTGTCATAATCTGTGCAGTGAAAATCTCTACCCTATACATTTCAACACTCCTTCTAGATCGTGTTTCACAAACATAAATCTTTCGTAATATTATTGAATTC